CAACATGAATTAACAGCCATGACACTCTCCCATAGATATTCCCACAGGCCAACCTGACCCAGCTAACTCCTCAAAGGTCCCTCTCCTCAGGTGATGCCAGGTCCTGTCAATCTGACTGTCACAACTAACCCACATGTCAGCCGTCTAGAATTATTAATCCAAACAACACACCGTTGGAAATTATGAGATCATTTTGAAAGTAATTATTTGCATCTGAAAAGTACAAAAGCTAAAACTGTGAAGAGACACTGATTGTTCAAGCAGAGGTAGGAAGCCTGCCTCAGCATATGCAGAGTTCCAATAACTCAGAAAGCTGTCTTACCGACTGTTTCACCATACAGACCATTTTCCAGTATTATAATAACAAATCACACGTACGATTCATTCATTTTCTGTGTATACTTCCCCACAATGCATGACTCTGGAGAACAGACTCAATGCCATGTTTGGCTGAGCTGACCGCCTTGGCTTCCTACCTCTTATTTCCCAAAACTTCAAGCTCAACCCGAACAGGGTTCAGAGTTTTGGTTATCAGCTCGGTATTTTCAATTTTAAAGACATTTTTGGAAACTGAACAGATTCCAGCTCTTGCAACACATACCCACATAGTGGGGGATGAGGGGAGCCTTACCATTGAAGCAGAGGAGAGGAGGGAAAAAAAAAAACATTGAAGAGAAGACTGGGTCAAAGATCACCTCACAGCAGCCAGCTGTTCTAGGAAAGAGCCTGCCTTTGCCTGGTAGGAGGTTCAAGTTCACCTAAGAGGTGAAGTGCTACACTGCATCCTCCATACACACGTGCGGCCTTCAGGTCACAGCTATGCCAGGAAGGCTCAGCTGACACTGGACATTCCCAACTTGGCAGACATCCCAATTTTCCTTCCCCTGAACTGGATCATGGAGATCAAGAAAGGCCACTCAAAAAGAGTATTGGCATTTTTATTTTTAATAGCTAAAACCTTTATCCAAGAAAATCCTCATGTTAGGATACCCATGTTCTTGGATAAGGAAATACTAGGTCTTAAGTTTGTGTGTGTTACCCCTCAAATTTCTAAATTTTAAGATTATTAAATGCGGTACAGCATTCTGGATGGACCCTGAACTCTCAGGTCGCATGGGCCGTTGAGTCCCTAGATGAGTGTTAGCCTGGGTTTCTTCCTGTGGCCTGGTGCCACATAATTAAGGGAAGCTGGGTAGAGGTGTCCCCGAGTCTCTGGACTGTCTTTGCAAACCTACACAATTCAAAACCAGTTCCAAACTGAGAAGTCTGTGTAAAAATGAAGTAGATTGGCCCAAGTTATCCAATAACTGTTTGGAGATGCGGTTGTAGATCTTGAACCGCAGTGATCCTTGCACTCTTGTGGTCTTTGGACCCTCTGGTTCTTGCATGCTGGCTCATGTCTCTGCACTGTTCATCTTTCCACCGCCTTCCTTCTACCATTAAAGCAGGTTTGTTAAAGGGTATCCATAAAATGATCAACACAATTACTCTTTAAAGAATTTTGTCTTTCTAGAATCTAAAATAGATACCTCTACGCCAGGGATTGACCCTGGGGTGCTGTGCATGCCAGGGGAAAGCTATACCTCTGAACTACCTCCTCTGTCCCCTGTTTTTGCTTGATTTGAGGCCAGGTTCACTAAATTGCTGCAGGCTGGGACTGAACTCACTCTGTAGCTCAAGCAAGCCTGGAATCTGTGATCCTCCTTCCTTGGCTCCAGAATAGCTGGGGAGACAGCCCCATGCAACAGGCCCTGTTGACCAAGTGTTTTGTTTGGCAGCAAGTTATTTGAAAGAATTCATCTTCTTTCGGCTCTAAAGATGCTTTTATTTGGACTGTGGAATGAATAAAATCATAGCTGGTGAGGGCTCAAAGCCCAGGCCAATGTGATGCCATGTATAAGGAAACTGGATTATGTAATATTTTCAAATCATATTGTTTAAGGTTTTTTTTAAATTAAGAATATATCCAAACACATTTAAGGGATGAAAAGTGAATTGTTGACTATGATAAACTATTTGGCCATTTTTTAATCCTGGATTTCCCCACATTTCTGTTTATTATACTGTAATAAAAAGTGACCTTATAAAATACATTAAGATTAATAAAATGTAATTTGAGATTCAAAGTAACTGAAAAAACAAAATTCTTGCCAAAATACTAAGTTTTAAGATTAAGAAAATGTAATATTTGTCCCTGGAGGACTGGGAGGACTGATGAGCAGACCGAAGGTCAGGGCTGCCCTCACCTCCCTTCTCCTTTGTTGTGATATCAGATATCACAACCTAGCAGTAGCTCAGGAACAGACACAGCAGATCACACCGAAGAGCCTTGATGGACACTTAGAAAACAAAAGGAACACCCCAAGGATATTAAGTCCCAGAGAAAACAATCAGAACAAGAATGCGTAACAAAAATTTACAAAAATACATAGAATTTTCTCAATTAAAAAAGAGAGAGAGAGAGGGAGAGACTCTATTAAACACCAACTGAAAATCCTTGTGTTTCAGATAACTTTCATGTGTGTGTAGGTAATCATTCTGGTAACTGATAACAAAATAAAATTTCCCTATTCAAAAGGATAATATATAAAACAACAGTCAATATTTTAATTGGCAGGGAACACAGACATTTCTCGTCCCTGAGACTCAATGTCTGCAACCTTCCATCTTGGGTTTATGAATGTAAGAAAAATATATGTGAATAAAATACGAAACATATATCATATATTAACAATATATTATTCTCTAAATTGTATACAATTAATTATTAATTAATTGCCTTCTAATTGCATCAATCTGAAATATTTAGATGCATAAAATCACAAATCTATAAAATATGCAAATAGCAGGCTTTTTAAAAATATAGCATTACAGAACCCTAATATCTCTCTCTCTCTCTCTCTCTCTCTCTCTCTCTCTCTCTCTCTCCTTTTTTTTTCCTTGTTAGCCTGGAACTCTATAGATCAGACTGGTCTTGAACTCACAAAGATCTGCCTGCCTCTGCCTCCTAAGTGCTGGGATTAAAACATACATCATAATTCTCTGCTATTCTCTTGTTCTTAAAGCTCTTGAAATGAGTCTACGTCCTCTTTAGAACCGGTGAAGTTGTGGTTTATTTTCAAAACGCGTCTTTAGAAGCCAGGATGGGTAGCAGAGAGGACTAAGACTGTGGCATCCTGAACCGACTATGCATTGATGTCCATTAAAATGTGAAACTACTTAATCCATCCAAAACACGCAGGCAAGACAATAAGCTGGTGACAAAGTGATCTCACATAAATTCAGTCAGGTATAAAGAACTCCACGTGGCAGGTTCACCAGCACAAGAGTTATGGAGAACGGTTGCAAACTTTTGTCTGAGACAATGGTCTGGAGGGGAAATAAAGAAAGGAGGAAATAGGGACAGTGTGAGAGGTTTTTACCACAACAAAAGGCAAAAGGATTAATGAGTTCACAGCAAGGGACACGGAGTCATGACAAAAACCACTCACTCCTCAGGCAGCCAGGGGCAAGGGTACTTGGACTTGGTAAACCAGAGGAAACAAAAATCGTGTTAATACACATGCAACATTTCTGTACAGATTTGAAGGAAACACAAGATTCAGTGAAAGTATTTACATCAATGTCAAACTGTAAAATGTTAGGATAATCAATCGATAAAATTAGCAAAGATGAAACTGAAAATAAAGAAGATAAAATAAAGAGTATAAACAAGTGGAAAATATCTATACTTAGTAAACAGAGTCCACATTCAAAATAAATTTGAGAAGCTATTTGAAGGTATAAAAGTATCAAAATGAAAGCTTAAAGACGAAATGCTGGCGAGCATGTAGAAACCTGTCGCCCCAAAGATTTCACAATAAGGAACTTGAATAATGAATGTATGCTTCTATCGCCGAATGCATAATTCAACAGAAACAAGAGATAAAAAAAATTATGCATCTTGTATCACAGTAATAATTAAAATTATTTTAAAAATGAATAGTAAGACTAGGGAATTACAAAGAAGTTGGTGAGATACTTATTGTAAAATAAACAAAATATAGCAAGGTATACATCCTGTTACTGTTTGTACCATAGTACATGAACTGCTACTATATGCACTGTGGTTATGTGCTATTATTATATACACCATGATATATGGGATGTTACTACATGCTCTATAATTATGTGCTGTTATCCTATGCCTTGTGCTTTATGTACTGTTATTACATGCACCAAGGCATATGTGCTATTATTATATACATTGGAGTACATAAGCTGTAATTATTTCAGCAAAAAATGAAGGAGAAAGCTCACATTACATACAGTAAATTTTAAATTTGTGGAAGATTTTTGGCACTGCAATGAATGTAATATTTTCATACCCTTTGGCATGTTACTTAGCAATTTAGTAATTCTTTTTTTGTTTGTTTGTTTATATGACTTTAAGTTATTTTTAACTCCAGCTATCAGGACAAATGTTTTCATATGAATTAAAAGTAGACAACAGCAAGGATGTGTTAAACTGTGTTTGTTAACAAACATGTATTGCTGCTGTTCCCTCTCAAAGCAATGAGATTAGATCATTTTAGTAAACTCCCAACTCTGCAAAATACTAGGGAGTGGACGGAGAATCGCCAGTCACTAGAGTGATTACGTGGAAACTATACTGCATATAGAAAGGTGTGCATTAAAGAGTCTTTGCTATCTCTGTGTGTCGTGCACACCCTTGGGAACGGCTTCTTGACTGAGATGCAGGTGTACACGTCACTCCGAAGTGACAGGAAGAGCCAGTTCCGCCGCTGAGCACACTATCCCTGCACCCTTATCTTCCGTCATCTCCCACACGGCGGCACAGACGTCCGGCTGTGCACATACCCTGCTCATGGGAGGACGAGGCACGCCACGCAGCCTACTGCATTTGCTCTAAAACCACACAAAGTGCTTGCTCCACCGTGGCGGCGGCTGCAGGTGTGTACAACCACCCCAGCTCCTCATCGCTGTGCCCCCGGCCATACCTGTTTCCTCCGGAGCCTGGAAAGAGCGTCTGTTCCTGTGGCCGGTGCTGGAGTTGTGGGCTCGCGGAGCTGCCGGGGTCAGGAGCTGAGAAGAGAGACACCCACCCCGTTATTGGACGTGCAGCCGGGCAGCAAGCAGCAAGCCCGGGGCTCCCTGGTGGGCAGAGGAGGGGTGAACTCACTTTGGCTGCTTCGGTGGCCCCTGGAGCCCCCGGGGCGGCTGGTGCCAGTGCACCCCGGTAGCCCTGCAGCTCCATGCGCAGGCTCATCAGGTCGGCTTGCAGAGCAGCAAACCGGTATAAGGACACCACCGTGAGGCCGCTGGACAGCAGGGACAGCAGGAGGGTAACAGCCAGCAACCTCCCATCCCTGCAGATCGCGACCCAGGCACACTCCTTCTGCGGAGTGATGGGAACACCCCCCACTTTCATTTCTTCTCCTTTCTCAGGGCAAAAAGAAAGGCGCGGTGGCTGGGTCTCTGCACTTTGAAGGTCTGGGCCTTTGGAGTAAGTGACCACAGGGGTGGGTCATTTCCGTCCTCTGTGTCTTTGGAGGCTCCCCTAGGAGCGCTCTCCTGACTTTCTTCTATATCTCTCGCTATCCTAAAGTAGGTTCTCTGGCTCTGACCAGAGCAATCCTTCCAAGGATTGCTCAATCCGCCTTCCTCATTTCACTTTCAGTTTTTGTAAGATGTTTCAGGCCACCTCAACACAGTCCTGCTGTGGGAGCTGTGAGGCCTCTGACATGGCTAGGGGGAAGCTTGGGGTTCAGACTGGCTCACCCCAGACAGAACTTTTAACAGAGAGTTTACTGAGGGTGCTTTCCCTTCAGCATGCCCTTGAGAACTCTGTCTGCTTGGGCCACATGGTTCTAAGGAAGGGGAGAGGGACACGGAAGGCCTGCTGGTGTAATAAAGGATAATTAATGTGCAAGGCAGATAAGCTGTGCTTGAGCACTGAACTGCTCTTGGCTGCAGGACAACAAACGTAACGTCTCCCTAGTGGAAGATGAAGTGCCACAGAGCAGAGTGAACTCCCCCCCGAACTTCTCCGCACTCATCTTGACAGCACAATAGAGAACATGCTAGGGATCTATTTAAGGCCATCCTGGGGGCTCTTTAAACGTGGGGTGGATTACCGGGAAGCATGGCTCCCCGTTTGCCTTCTGAGACTCTGTCCCCCCATGAACTGTGACAAGGAGTTGATGCTCAATCTCCACATTGATGGTACTAGTTTCACAGGTGTGGACACGGAATGACCTGAATCCGTGGCTGGACTTGCTGACATGCAGTCACTGCGAATTCATTTCAGTCTTTCCTGGTCTGGAAGGCTGGTTGGGGACCCAGTACCTCCATGTCAGTTCATCTTCCAGCATCGGCCACCGAGCACTCACTAAGCCTGCAGAAGCCTGCAGAGTCACCATTCACCTCAACCTGACTGCCAAGTCTCATGATACCTTCCCTTGTAACCGGAGGAAGTCCCAGAAACAAAAGAGCGCAGAGGCAAGGACTCCAGAGGTAGGCTTCTCAGGTACCAACCTTGCTTCTGCCTCTTGCCCTCCCTGTGTCAACTACAGAACCTTTGCGTGGATCAGTTTCTTCTTGTGTAACACCAAATGATGACAGTGTGCCTCCCTGGGGCTGCTGAAAAGGTAGGAGGTATCAACTGATCACATTCACCATGCTTCCATTTCTTATCCATTCCTTTCAAACCACAGATGGAGTGTTCTTGCTCTTATAGTCGGTTCTGAAACTGGTACTTTTGTATGGGTACCATCTGTAGGGGCTCCCCCACCAAGACACATTTTCTCTTTTGCAAGGTGTCAAAGGGTACCCTCTGTGGTCATTTCCTGTCTCACTCCCAAGAGATGCTATCCGTCTTTTTCATTGTGTTGGGATCTTCTCTTCTTTTCACTTCTGTGAGTTCTACAGAACTTTGCTTTAAACAGTTGCTGCAATCTTTACCCCCAAATGAGCTGTTCTCTAATCTCTCAAGTGAAAGTAGACTATTAAGTATGTGTGTGACATTTTTTAGGTCTGGCATCAAACAATCCTTGTGTTACCATGTTCTAGGTCACAGAGTAAAGCATTGTGGTTAATGACCCCTGGTATAAAGTGGGAATTCCCTAAAGACCTCAAACTGAAAGAGATTAAGTCTCATTCTTGAGACTGAATGATAGGACTGTAATCCCATCACAAGAGAGAATGAGACAGGAGGACTGTGGGTTCAAGGTTAGCCTTAGCTCCATAGTAAAAGCCTGTTTCAAAATCAAACACATACCTCGATCATGTCCTAACATTATCTAATTACACACAGAAATGAAATGATGCAAAGGAGCACAAGAGCAAGAGGCAGCACCTTCCTCCATGTTTTCCTGCATAATTATCCAAAGGGAATTATCTCTCTCGGCTAAAGGGCATCCTTTGCCTTCTTTGCTCCACTGGGCAAAGAGCTTCATAGCCACACTCCTCAAGAGAAAGCCCAGACCAATTTGAGTTTAGGTCATTTTAGAATAAGTATCCAATGTTGGCTCATGAAGTGGCATCACTGTGCATCAATGGCCGCAGCTTCGCCCAATAAAGGTTACCAGGGAGCCTCTGGTGAGTGGGCACCACTGTTTGTACCACCTCCACAGAGGTCAAAGACAGCTAGAAAGTCTGGTACATTTATGGCTATTGAATTTCTTAAGAAATAAACAAGACTAAGTTATCTCTCCATAACTCAAAAGTCTGTTTCCTGCAGAGGAAATGGTTTGATGGTGATTTAATCAGAACTTTACTAAATAAAGAGTGCATTCTTATTTCTTGACTACCTCCCAGCACTAGTGTGTCTGTTTGCCTGACAGGGTGTCTTCCATCCTTAGACTGTTGATGTGTGTCTTTCATATAAGGCATATATATAAGGCATGCCTCTTAGAATAGTTAGGTCTTCTTTCAATGCAGTAAGTTAGTGTGCATCTTTGAATTGCTGTGTTGAGAACATTTGCATTAGATTATTTCTGAGAAGGGCTTGCTATTTCCTGAGGGTTTGTTGGTTGTTCAGGATGGTGGGACTGCTAATTATTTCTTCCTCTCCTTTTAGTATTAGAGGTTTTCTGATGTGCTGTGTTGGCCATGATAGATCCCAGCTCTCCTCTGTTCGTGCATTGCTCTCATGAGTATGTTCTTTCCTGTGCTTTACTGAATGAGATTGTCTTTTTCCTCCTCTCTGTATGGTATTCAGACAGATCTTTCTGCAGCACTGGTTCCATGGACATGGGCTGTGATAAAAGAGACTGAGCTATTAAGAAGTGTAGGCCATTAATAGGAGTCAACAGAGAGGTGCAGAACTGGCCAAAGGGCTGAGTACTCAGTATCAAATGGGACTTCTGTTTCAACACCCCTATGCAAACACTGCCCATACCAAGGCTTTCGGAACATCCTGAAAGAGGAGGAAGAAAGCGGTAAGAGTCAGAGGATAGGGAGGAGTGCTGTTGAAATTCTTCTGATTATCGCACCCATGAACTCATAGCACTTGTGGTTATCTACTCACGATCTGCACAAAACCAAGCCAGCCAAAATTCTGGCATTGACTTAGTAGGTAGTCTCCAGGCCCCACTCCCTACTGAGGAGCTATTGGTTGTTTCTAGTGGAGGGAGAAACATTTTTTTTCTGGCCATGTGGCCACTGACCGGATTCTCGTGGTCCAGTGGATGACCCACTGTGGTAATACTTTGTTTGTACTCTTGACAAATAAAGTTTGCCTGCAGATCAGAGGACAAAGACAGCCACCAGATTAAACATAGAGGCCTTTAATTCTAGCATTTGGGATCACTCATCTTTAATCCCAGCACTAGGAAGGTTGAGAAAGGAAGTCATATGGCTGGGCAGAGAAAAGAAGATAAGGCGGGAGGAGACAGGAATTCGCTCTCTTGCAGAGGCTCTGTCAGGCTGAGGAGCTGGTGAGGTAAGAGGTAGTAGCTGTGGCTTCCTCTGCTTCTCTGATCTTTCAGCTTTCACCCTGATATTTGACTCTGGGTTTTTATTGTAAGACCATTTAGGATTCATGCAACAACTCATTCTCACATGGTAACCTATAAGCATTACTGATGAGACTTAGTAGGTTATAAAATCAACTTCCTAGTTGGGAGGACACATGGAAAGAACACAGGGAAATTAGAGATAGATATAACCACATTTCATTGTACCAATGTGTCAAATTCTCAAGAATAAACAAAAAGGTTTTAAAAGAAAAATAAAAAAGTATAGGTCATTAAGAAGAATTATAGTCTTTCTTTTGGTAGAGAATTCTTGTTTAGGGGGGCTGGATTGGTTACACAAGAGTACATTGTATGGGGTGCCAGCTTTTCATAGTTCTTACACATAAACACCCGATTACAACTCTCCTTCTGTTTTCTAACATTTGATCTTCACTAGAACTCAAGAACATGTCAGTGCTACACTCTCCTGAATTTCTGAAACTGAGGCAAAGTGGGTTTCATCCTTCACAAAGTATAAAGCCATATACTCTTGGAATTCTATTGTAACAATATAAAGTAAAAAGGCTTCGGAAGCTGCCATTATCTGCTGGGAACTGAATGTCTCCCCAAACGCCTGCTCTGGACAGGTGTGTCCCTTGCAGAAGACAGACTTATGGAGACATGTGTTCTGACAGTGAGAAGAGACTGACAGAACAAGCCCAGAGAATCACGGACAGGAATACAATAGGATGGCCATACAGGGGAGAGAAAGGAGGAGGCATAGATAGAGAAGTAAGGGCTGTGAACTCACCAGTGCACTGTGGGACTGGGGCCCACCGGGAGGCCTGGGGGCCACAAGAACTCCACACTTGTGAATGGCTCAGTGCTGACAGTGAATGGGCTGGAGACTGAATTCCCACCCTTGCTTTGTTTCACATCCCTTTGTCTTCTGCCACAGGATGACCCCCATAGGTAAAGCCTCTTGACATTGGATTCCCAGCCTCCAGAACCACAAGTCAAATGAGTTTCTTTTCTTTACAGGAAAAGACCATGCCTCTGGCATTGTGTAATAACAAAACACCAAGTAGGACAGGTATGAAAACAGCCCTAGGTTATCTCAGAAAACCTGGGTTCTAGTGGAGCCGAGTAACGAGGTTCTATGTCTGTACTTTGTAGAACTGATCTTCTCACCATTTCACATCCATTGTCTTGTTTTACTTCCATGGACAGTTACTATTTTCTGTGATCTCATAATTCCAATGCAGGTTAGCTCACACCCATGTTCTCTGTTTCTGATTGTCTACTACTTTGCATAAAGATGTTATTAGTCCCAAACTGCAATCATATGCTTACGTTCTCTGCAGTGAATTTTTGTATGATTTAAGGGGAGACAGGAAATGGCCAATGAATTTTACCAGCTTTTCTAATTGCATAATTCTTAATACCAATGCTGTGTTCATACATGCATCAATCTGATCTGCATTACTGTTCATTACTTCCTTCCAGTGTAAATAACATCCTGCATTCCCTGAGAAGTGGGTCCAACAGCGATATACTCAGCTCT